GTGTGAGGGCTATATCTGGGGTGGTAGGAGCCATACCCAGAGGGGGGTCGGTACATACCACATGGGGGCGGTAATGGGGGGAGTCCATACATACAGCCTAGTGAAGGCCCTACTGTGGAGGTCAGTATGTACCTTGTAGGAGCCATACGGGGGGGGGGTCAGTACATACCATATGGGGGCCGTTCCTGGGGCGGGGGGGTCGGTAGGTACCATGTGGAGGCCGTGCCCGGGGTGTCGGTACGTACCATGCGGGGGCCGTACCCGGGGTGTCAGTACGTACCATGTGGGGGCCGTACCCGGGGGGTCGGTACGTACCATGTGGAGGCTGTACCTGGGGGTCGGTATGAACCATGTGGGGGCCATACCCGGGATCTCAGTACGTACCATGTGGAGGCTGTACCTGGGGGGTCGGTACGTACCATGTGGGGGCCGTACCCGGGGGGTCGGTACGTACCATGTGGGGGCCGTACCCGGGGTGTCGGTACGTACCATGTGCGGGCCGTACCCGGGGGGCTTGCCCTGGGCGGGCAGCATGGGGGTGCTGCTACAGGGGTTGATGCGTTTCTCCTTCTGGCGACGGTTGCAGAACCAGACACGGATCACCTCCTTCTCCATGTTCAGCTGCTCTGCGATCAGCAGGATCTCCTCTGAGGTAGGCTTCTGGTTCTGGGGCAGCGACATAAGAACATGAGAACGGCCAGACTGGGTCAGACCAAGGGTCCATGTAGCCCAGTGTCCTGTCTGCCAACGTGGCCAGTGCCAGGGCCCCAGAGGGAACGACCAGAACAGGGAACCATCCAGTGATCTGTCCCGTTGCCCATTCCCAGCTCCTGGCAGAGGCTCGGGACCCCATCCCTGCCCAGCCTGGCTAATAGCCATTGATGGACTCATCCCCCATGAACTTATCCAGTTCTCTTTTGAACCCTGTTATAGTCATGGTCTTCACAACATCCTCTGGCAAGGAGTTCCACAGGTTGACTGTGCGTTGTGTGAAGAAATACTTCCTTTTGTTTGTTTTAAACCTGCTGCCTGTTAATTTCATTGGGTGACCCCTAGTTCTTGTGTTATGAGGAGGGGTAAATAACACTTCCTTATTTACTCTCTCCCCACCAGTCATGATTTTATAGACCTCTATCATATCCCCCCTTAGTCTCCTCTTTTCCAAACTGAAAAGCCCCAGTCTTATTAATCTCTCCTCATACGGAAGCCGTTCTATACCCCTAATCATTTTTGTAGCCCTTTTCTGAACCTTTTCCAATTCCAATAGATCTTTTTTGAGATGGGGCAACCACATCTGCACGCAGTATTCAAGATGTGGGGATACCATGGATTTATATGGAGGCAACATGATATTTTCTGTCTTATTATCTATCCCTTTCTTAATGATGCCCAACATCCTGTTCGCTTTTTTGACTGCCGCTGCACATTGAGTGGATGTTTTCAGAGAACTATCCACAGTGACTCCAAGATCTTTCCTGAGTGGTAACAGCTAATTTAGACCCCATCTTATATGTGTAGTTAGGATTATGGTTTCCAATGTGCATTACTTTGAACTTATGAACAGTGAATTTCATCTGTCATTTTGTTGCCCAGTCACCCAGTTTTGTGAGATCCTTTTGTAGCTCTTCGCAGTCTGCCTGGGACTTAACTCTCTTGAGTAGTTTTGTATCATCTGCAAATTTTGTCAGCTCCCTGTGTGACGAAGTGGGGGATTTTCTTAACGGTTTGCATGAACACTGTGTGTGCCTCAGTTTCCCTGTGTGCTGCACAGGACCAGGTGTGACCTCGCCTAGCAGCTGGGATCCCGGACACCGGCCTGGAGATTGGGGACCCAGCGACTGGTGACCGGGGGGCCCAGCCCAGCTCGGGAGCAGCCGGTTCTGGCCGGGGCGGGGGGGGGGGGCAATGGGCTGAGGAGAGAGGGGCCCAGGGACCTGACCAGCCGGGTCCAGCCAGGGGGGAACAAAGGACGGCAGAGAGGGGCCCAGCAGCCTGTCAACCTGGGACTGAAGACAAAGGGCGGAGGAGGGGCGGGTGGGGGAGGGGATTTAGGGGGCTCGGCTGGAAGGAGGGGGCGGGGTGGGGCTGGGCAGGGGACAAGGAGCAGCCGGACCCATGGGGACGGGACAGACCCAGCTGGCCAGGCCCGAGGGCCCTGAGAACTGCCTGGGCTGGGTCCAGACATTCAATACATCTCCTGTGTGACGCTGGAAGAGTCCCTGCAGCTAGAGATTGGGGGCGTTGCTCCCTCTGGGGGTGGCGAGATCGGGGGGTGTTGCTCCCTCTGGATGTGGGAAGGGCGGACGTGTGTAGAGATCCATGTGTGTGTGAGGATCGGGAGTGTGCAGAGATCTGGGAGGTGTGTGTATCAGGAGTGTGCGTGCAGGGAGGGCGGACGTGTGCAGAGATCCGTGCTCTTTATCAGAGTGAGGGGACTCCCCGTGGGGCCCACGGCAGAGCCAGGCTGCTGGGGGCTCAGGGGTGCGGTCCCAGGAGGTGGCGGGGCCAAGGGCCTGACCCCGCAGGGAGAGCGCACCCCCGAGACGGGCTATCACCCTGAAGGGGGTTCCTCCCAGAGGCTGCAGGGAGCCGGGGACTCTGGGACAGCTTGGGGTCCCTGCCCCTGTGGGTTGGATTGGGGCGCGCAGCGACGGAGCTGGAACCCACCGAGGCGTCCCCGGGTGGGACTCAGGGGAATCCGGAGGTGGAGGAGAGGCCGAGGGTGGTCGCTGCAGGCAGAGAGGGCAGGGGTGCAGGGCCCAGAGACACAGGAAATCTTGGCCCAGGGTTAATGTGGCGGAGCAGAGACAGTGGGTCGAGCTGTGTCTAGCCCTGGGGAGGAAGCAGCCACCCACCAGCCCCGGAGGCAGAGCTGGCCAGGGAAGGAGGGTGCAGACGGGCTCCCACCCCAAGCCCAGAGGATACGTCTGCTTGTACCCCTGGGCTCAGGCCCCTCGTACCCCAGTGGGACCGGATGGGGGTGGTCAGGGGGGAGAGATCCTGGACCGAGACTCTTGTCAGTGTGGGGCGACCCCCCAGCTGCTGAAGGCTGCGTGACGTGGGGGGAGTTTCCCACACTGCAGCCAGTTGCCCAGCGACACCGGCGGGATGGGGGGGCTGGTAGCTGGGGTCCTGCAGCAGAGCCGCTGGGAAGGATCCGGACCCGGTGTCAGGAGGGGCAGGAGCCAGTGAGCTGGGGAACAGCCCAGCCCGGAGGGGATCCCTGCCCCCAGAGCGCAAGGGAAGAGCTGTCTGCCCGGTTACCTGCCAGTCTGTAGCTAGACCCCTGGGGCGGATGGAGGTGGGTCCAGGGGCAGGGGGACCCGGGCAGGGAGGTGACGCACCGGACCAGGCAGTGCCCAATGCATGCCTCACCCTGATGGGTGTGCTCGGCTACCTCGGAAATGGGGGGCCAAGGGGGCCCCTGTGACGAACTGAGACTGTTCTTAAAGTAGTCTGTGAATGCTGACAGGGGAGTGTGGCTAGGATGGTCTGCATTGGGGGATGGTGAATGACTGAAGGAGAATACCTGAGCATGTAACATGAGAACCCAGGAAGGGGGGGAGGCGAGGTGACACCTTTGCCCGGGAAACTGAACAAAGGGAGTTGGAGAAGCTGGCTAGTGACTAGGGCTTGGGGCAGACAGGGCTCTGATTCCCTAAGGGGGCTAGGGTGCCCGGGGACCCCAAGATGGACCTAACTGAGGGGGTCCTGTTGTCTGTGCCTGCAAGACCTGTACTGGACTGCATTCCTGTCATCTAAATAAACCTTCTGCTTTACTGGCTGGCTGAGAGTCATGGTGAATCCCAGGACGCCGGGGGTGCAGGGCCCCGAGTCCCCCCACACTCCGTGACAACTGGTGGCAGCGGTGGGATCTACTGCACCCCGTGGACGGCGCTTCCTGCAGTAAGTGACTGGGGAGAAGTAAAACGAAGGGGGATTGACGGGGACCAGGCGTGCTGAGGAGTCAGAGAGAGACGGTTATCACCCCTGGGAGTGTGTGACCAGCGAGAAGGACTTTTGCAGTAACAGGGTCCCCCGGGGGATCGCAGCGAGTGGTCCCAGGGGCGGAGAAGTCTGCAGCTCGACCCTGGCAGAGAGGCGGTGACCTCGAGAAGGGCTGGCACACTAGGGGTCTCCCTGGAAACTGTGGGGAGCGGTGAGCACCCAGGCCTGTGACTGGCCAGCAGGAAGATGTATGCCAAGCGGCTTAAGAGCGACCTGGTGGAGCTGTGCAAGCAGAGGGGGGTGCGCATTGGGAAGCTCACCAAAGAACAGCTCATTGCCCAGCTGGAGAAGCGAGATCGCGCGAATGAACTGATCCCTGTCTCTGAGGGAAGCAGCCTGGCAGATGCAGCGCAGGC